ACTATACAATCTCATACTTATACTATCTTTGGATCCTTCTCATTTCGGTGTGTCCGGACCGTTATAAATATATAATAATATATATAATAATTATATTACTAATAATAATCATTATATTATATTTAATTGATCTTTATTTATATATATACACTTATTTTTATAATTAACAATCTACTTATTTGTATTTAAAATTAATATTACGATACAATTTAAATTATTTATTATAAATTTAAAAGTTTAAATAACAATTTATATATTTTAAAATGAGAAGAGTTATAATAACATTGGTATAACTTTTACTAAGTATTACACCGTTCAATAACTTTATATTAAATGTGAATTTTGTAAATCCAACTGTTAGATTGAAAGTTCATATCACTTTATATGTTTATATCAAGTTTTGTTAAAATTGAACAACAACTTGAAGATAATTAAAGTGCTCATATTTTAGTATATTTTGAAATGTATATATTACGTCAATTTTGTTTTACAAGAATAAAGTATTAAATTATCTTGAATTCATATAAAATTTTGTATATATGATCTTAGACTAAAAAACTTTCAATCTAACAGTTGAATTTATAAAATTCACATTTAATATAAAGTTATTGAGCGATGTAATACTTAGTAAAAGTTACACCGATACTATTATAAACCTTCTCTTTTAAAATATTATTTTTATAAATTAAATTTTAACATTTTAAATAAATGATTAATTAACAATATATTTATTCATCTTAAATTTAAGATATAAAATTCAAAAAATGTATTTATCCTTGTTTTATTTTCTAATTATCAACCATTAATAAAATACTAATTTAAAATCTTATAAAGTTATATCATAATATTTTCATATCAAGTTTAAAATTATATATTAGTTATATAAAAATATCAAAATCATATAGTAAATTATTAATAAGATTCTAGTTAAATAATTTAAAATAATTAAATTTTCAACTATATTGTTTGCAAGTAATTTATTCCAAAGCTAATCAATACTTTCTATATTAATTATTAGTAAAATTTAATAAATTTTAATTTAATAATTAGATCGATGAAATTCAACATATATCATGAGTTATTGAGCGAAGTAATTTTACTAAGAGTTATTTTATGAGTTATTTGATTCTTCTTCCTCCTCCTCTCTATCTCTGTGTGTGTATATATATATATTTAAAGTTTTATTAATGATCTTTTTTAATATGTGATTGCCAATTTTTGTAAAAAATTCTTACATTTTCGACAAACATAATTTTTTCAGAAATATTCTATCAGTAATATAACTTAGTAATATTGGTGTGTATATTTATATATATAATTTATTTTATAATTTTTATTCACTAAAAAAATTGAACATTAATTATATTTTTATCACTTTTTAATCAGTTGAGAGGATGACAATGAAATAATAAAATTAAAAAAATATTTTAATTAAAAGTATTGTTTTTGGTAAATGGGTAATTTAAGAGTATTTTTTATGAATAATCAAATGAAAAATATATTTTAAAATTTTATGATGGTTATTGTTAAGTTAACACAATAATTGTTTAAAAAAAAATCTAATATTTTGATCGATTTTAAATTTGTTTGATAAGTTCTTATTAATCCTTATATAAACCAATATTATTTTAAGTTGATGGAACACGTTTATAATAACTGAACTAGATGTTTAAGTCTAATTTTGAAAATAATAATTGAAATAAAATAAGATTTATAAATTAAAAAGAAGTTTTTTTACCTTAACAAAATTGGAAAGCACAATAAATTGTGTATTTTCATATTATCTAGCAAAATAAAATATTAAGTATGATAAAATAGAAATAAATTTCTCAAGAGAAAAATAAATAATTTTGATAGATAAATTATTATTCAAATTAGTCCAAAATTTTTAAAATATTCAATTAAAAAATTAATATTTAAATTTCTGTTTATAGCATTATGTTTCTTATTTTTTAATACATTATGATATATTATCTATTTTAAATTATATAATATGTATTTTTTTAAAAACTAAAATAATTTTATTGGAAGGGTCATGATTTTTATTTCTTATCATTAATTTTTTTATCATTATAAAAATAATATTATATATTTTTATATTTGCTTTCTTTTTTAAAAAGATATATTCTTAAATTTTTTAAAAAAATTTACATTTAGCAACCGATTTTTATTTGGTCGCTACCATTATTATAAATAATATTTTTGTATTGTTTTTAGCGATCAAAATTTTTTTGTCCCTATTTTAGCCACCGAAACCAATTCGGTTGCAAATTTACATACAATTTGGTCGCTAAAGAATATGTAATCTACAAACTAAATATCGATTTGGTCGCTAAATAAAAACTGCAACTAATTATGTTGCTATTAGCGACAGAAAAAAAAATCCATCCTAAATTGACTTTTTTTTTGTAGTGTACTCACCTTCTTATTTTCTTTTGACACTCTACAAAATAAGGGGAGAAGAGCCTAGAGGAGATCATCTTGCAAGCACGCATTCTTCGCTTTCTATTGATCATGGTATAGGGAAAGAGAACCCCAAACGTGTGGTTCAGCGGTAGGGGTTGATCCACGCTTAAGCAAGGTTAGGGGTTCGAATCCTGCCTTGTGTATGCAGTTGCGTTAAATCTTGGGACCAGCTATCCCATCCTTTGAGGTGCCTCCAACGTAGCGAGGAGATTAGTCACTGCTATCGGCGGTGGATACTCTAGGAATGAACAAAAAAAAAAAAGGTATAAGGAAAGAGAGAATTCTTGCTCTAAAACCTGGGATAGTTGATGAATAATGAGATTGACTACCCCTAACCTCTGTATTGTATGTGGTATGTGTTGTATGAAGGAGGAAAATCTAAAAGGTTTTCTATTATTGATTTTGATTCTTCTTTATGATTCCTTAGTGCCTATAGTTACTGAATGTATATTTATTTTTGATAAATTTCATGTTTAAACTTTGAAGCCTGTTGGATATTTTTGAGTTGCGTGTGAAAGAGGGGTTTTTATAAAATTTGTCTATTCTTGATATTGATTCTTCCTTATGATTTCTTAGTATTTATAGTTACTAAATATATATTTAATTTTGATAAATTTCATGTTTTGATGTATGTTAAATAAATTATAAATTTCACGTTTTAATTTATAATTTATTTAATTAAAGTTTTGTTTCTTGCACAATTTATAATTTATTTAGAATTCTTTTCTTGAAAATAAATTATATTTTATTTAATAAAAAATTCCTGTTCATTGCAGAATTTATATAATTTATTTAGAGTTCTCTTCTTGAAAATAATTTATCATTTATTTAATTAGATTTCTGTTTCTTGCATAATTTATAATTTATTTAGAGTTCTTTTGTTAACAATAATCTATAATTTATTTAATTGAATTTCTTTTTTGTGCAGAATTATATAATTTATTTCATTTTCTCTTCTTTAGAATAATTTATAATTTATATAATTAATTTTATGTTTGTATTTCTTTATTTATTACAGAATTTTTATAATTTATAATTTTTGTAGTGCAAAATTTATATTTATAATTTTTTGTTGACATCATATTCTTTCTATTAAAATAATATCATATTCTTTCTATTAAAATAATATTTTGAATAAAATGAGGAATTGACTGTGAATAATTATTTTTGCTTTTGTGTGATATGTATTTTATTATTACAATAGTGAAATTTTGATTTATTATTCAATAACAATATATTAGGCGAAAATGACTTTATTAAATGTTGTCGTACTTAAAATATGTTAGACACTGTAAAATTACAATTAAATTATATAATTGTTGTATAATATTATATTTCAATTACGTAGAAATAGAATATTTGATTTACTATAGATTTTAGAAGATGACCAGAGGATATTATTTGCTAGCCGTTAAGATATAGTCTAAAAACTTGCATCATATGAAATTTTGAAATATATGAAAAATTTGATGTATATAACAATAAAACATAATTTAATAATTAGATTGATTAAATTTATATTACACAAAAAATTATTAAAAATATAAGATTTAGTATAAATTTCAAGACTTACATGTGGTATTGATGGATCATAACCGATATATTAATTACTAATAAATATATATATATATATATATATATATATATATATTTATTTATTTATTGTAAATTAAAAAAAATAAAAATATTGAAAATTTAGAAGAAAAAGAATGAATGTGCATGGTGTTGTCACGTGGCATTTGTTTATGTAACATAACCTTCTATTATAATATGCTTTCTCCATTCCATAATAAGTATCATTAGAAGGAAAAATTTATTTTAAAATAAATATCATATTAATTTTTTAATATAATATTAATTAACTCTTTAAAAATTGATTTTGTATTGTAATTATATTAGTAAAATTATATTCTCTTTCACTTTTTTTTTTTTTTTTGTTTGGATAAGGGCTTGTCATATCCTGAACCTGAGACCCAATAGTGATATTGCAACAAGCAAACCATTGCATATTAGTAAAATTATTATTCTCTTTCACTTATTTATTAGTTTTTCTTTATATGTATAAAATTACATAGGACGATATGTATTATGCGACAGATAAAGTATAATAGATAGATTTATAATTAGTGTTTTAATTTGTTTATTTTTATTATATATAATTAAAATTTATGATTTAAATATATAAATAAATATTATATTTGAATATATGAATTATATTATATTTATATTTATATGGAAAAAAAAATCTCCAAAACTGACTTGGCCGATTGTAATATGCTAACTTCTTAATAAACATTAAGCAATAAGCAACATTTTCATCAATCTTACTCATGTGTGCACGTGTTAACTTATTTGTTACCTATTGTTTTGCTCTCTTAAAGCAAAGACAATGAACGCTCAAGGGTCAAAATCACCATTCTTCTTCCTTTTATGTAAAGATTATCCGGATCAAATCTTAGATTACAATTGAAGAAGCAACTCTTAGTTTCTCCTAATCTTCATCAACTGCAAGTCTGCAACAATATATATATATACAATATAATTTCACTTCCCAGCATTCATTTACCAAGTGAGGTCAGATTCAGAATGCAGCTGCCAGAATATATTGCCGCTTTATCTTTCTTCCTAATCTGCTCTTCCATTTACTGTGGTAATTAAATATTTATATCACTAGCTAGTGTCTTCCTTCACAACTTCATAAGGACCTTTGTTATTTTTATTGTTCGTTTAATATTTGATGAATTTTTCATCAAATGTATATCTATGATTATCAATGCTCATCTAAGGATTATTTTTCTAGTTAATATAATTTAGATATTAATAGTTCAATTGGGTTTGTTTCTACTTAGGATACTAGTCAATTAATTCAGCAGGGTACGTGAATTGTCCTAATATGTTTTGTATCAAGTTCAATTTCGATAGCTAAAAAAGAAAATTGGTTGTTTCTATCGATTTAACTGCTATGAAATATCCGTATAATTAAATTTTTACACATTTAACAAATCAGAAATCATTGTAAATATGATTTTTAAAATAATTATACCAAAAATCAGCAAATTTATTATACATGTTAACTTACAATCAGACACTAATGCATAAACTATTTAATTTATTTCTAATGTTCTCACATGTACATAAATCGTATAAGATGAAAACCATACACATATTTATATATGCAGGATATGCAGAGGCTCATCAAGTCACATTCTATGTGCACAATAAATGCCCCTTTCCAATATGGCCAGCAACTGCACCAAACAGTGGCCAACCAGTGATAGCAGATGGTGGATTCTACCTTGCTCCAGATCAAACCAAACGTGTCATAGCACCATGGACATGGAATGGTAGAATTTGGGCAAGAACAGGTTGCAACTTTGGTTCAAATTGGAAACCAGCTTGTGAAACTGGTGACTGTGATGGAAGACTAGCATGCAATGGACTCATAGGCACTCCTCCAGCCACACTTGTTGAAGTTTCACTCCAAGGTGGAAAGCCAAATTTCTATGATGTTAGCCTTGTTGATGGCTACAACATCCCTGTGTCTATCACCCCTAGGGTTACAAACCCTAAGTGCAACATTCAAGGGTGCTTGAAGGATCTCAAAGGCTTGTGCCCCCAAGAGCTTGAGGTGTTCAATTCCAAGGGAGAAATTGTGGCATGCAAAAGTTCTTGTTTGGCTTTTGATAATGACAAGTTTTGTTGTAGGAATGAATATGGGAGTCCAGGGAAGTGCAAACCTAGTGTGTACTCAAAGATATTTAAGGATGCTTGTCCCAATTATTTTAGCTATGCTTTTGACACACCTACTCCATTGGTGAGTTGTACATCCTCGGAGTATGTAATAACGTTTTGTCCTTATGGATGGGGTGATGGTGAGCACAAATCTGAGTAGAAAATTTATACCTTTGTTGTTTGTGTATGGATTTGGTGGGGATGGATTGGTGCTAGAATCAATTTAGTATTTGATTCTTAATAAGCACTTTTGATGTATGTTGCCATAAAAGTTGTGTATTGGTTATTGCATTTTATTTATAACTTAAAGATACAATGTGTGATCGATAACTAAACTTCTAATTTATTAGCACCAGTTAATTGTAGCTGCTTCAAAAAGAACACAAAGTTCGCCTCTTTTTTTTTTTTTTTTTTTTTTT